GTGAATCTCGGCACCGACGGGAACAAAGAATTGTTGAGGTTGATTCTGGAGTCAGGCAGGACTACGAGTTCAAACTGGCACAAGCTTTAAACGTATGTTTACCAGTGCTTTAAAACAAAAGAGTCCCAAGTATTTAAAAAACAAACAAACATCATTTTCTTTGTTGTAAAACTAGAATGTTGTTCTGAGAGTAGCTTCCAGCAGTCCGGTTAGCATCGGGAATGATCTTCTCCTGTATGTTTTATGCCTCCATGTGGCTGAATTCAATACAATTTAACAGTAGATAGATGAAGTTTGTGTTTACGGTGTAGGTTGGATTATAGATGAAACAAACAAAAAAAAAACTTTGTCAATTTTCACAAATAATGAAAAAAGAAATCATAAATAAATAAATTCCAAGTACATGATGTGGTGTGGACGAGCTCAGTGTTCTGACACCAGAGGCCCGTTACAGGAGAACCTCGTATAATCTGGTTTCTGTTATCCCGCCAGGATCTGAGGAAGCAGCACGATGAGCAAGTCTCTCTCTATAAGGATGAATTGGAGCAAACCTTTCAAGCCAAGGTAACAAACGCATCATTTATTTTCTGCTTGTCGATATTTAAATTTTATACTTTTTTTTTTTTTTTTTTACTTAAATCTGCCTGTCTCTTTTAATTTAGTTGGATAATGCCAAGGTGTCTTCTGCGATGAATGACAAAGCTATGAGCTCTGCGAGGGAGGAGCTGCAGGAGTCCCGGATGAGAATAGAGAGTCTTGGTTATCAGATGAGCGCCCTGCAGAAACAGGTGACTCTAAAACACACGTTTAGGCTTATTTTATTGCTGTAACTCCAAAGCACCGGTACCTTTCATTTTTGAGGCTTTCACGTGCATATTAATAATCTTTTTTTAATGTTTTAGGTTGATAAATTTAATTACTTTATTGCTAACATTGAGTGTACACATTTTTAGATGAGTTTATACTTTCTGGGCGTCCAGTGTATCACAGCTCACTCCTCCTGACCAGAAATGCATCAGTGTTTCTGTACAAGTGGAGGAACGGGATCTTGATGGAGGAGAAATTAAACGTCAAGCCACAAGTTAGACAGAATTAAGGTGGTAAATTAATTAACAAACTAGTTCCAACAAAAATGAATCTTTTGCCTTAAAAGACCTTGAATTAGTGGAATTTTCTCCATCAAGAGTTTTGACTTGTTAATGACCGTACAATTTATCCATCCATCCATTATATTTCGCTTGTTCTGAAATCGGGTCTCAAGAGCAGCAGCTGGAGCAGGGAGGCTCAGACATCTCTTTCCACAGCCACCTCTTCCAGTTCATCTAGGAAAACCCCAAGTCGTTCCCAGACCAATCAAGAAACAGTTTCTCCAGCGTGTCCAGTGTCTCCTCCCTGTCGAACATGCCTGAACCACCTCAACAGGCTCCTCTCCATGTGGAGGAGCAGCGGTTCTTCTCCAAGTCTCTTCTGGATAACTGAACTTCTCTAAGGGAGAGTCCAGTTACCCTGTGGAGGAAACTCATTTCAACCGCATGTATCTGTGATCTCATTCTTTTGGTCACTACCCAGAGCTCCAGACCATAGGTGAGCGTAGGAACATAGAATGACCGGTAAACGGTAAGCTTCTCTTTAAAGCTCAGTTCCCTCTTCACCACAATGGACCGACGCAGAGTCTGCAATACTGCAGATGCTGCACCAATCCGTCTGTCAATCTCGCGCTCCATTCTTCCCTCACTCGTGAACAAAACTCAAAGATACTTGAACTCCTCCACTTGAGGCAGAACCTCACCCTCCACCTGAAGAGAGCAATCCACCCGTTTCTGACTAAGGACCATGGCCTCAGATTTGGAGGTGCTGATTCTCATCCCAGCTGCGAACCGCTCCAGTGAGAGCTGAAGATCACAGCACGATGACTCAAGCAGGACCACATCATCTGCAAAGAGCAGAGGTGGAATCCTGAGGTTACCAAACAGGACTTCCTCCACCCCCTGGCTGCACCGAGAATTTCTGTCCATGAAAGTTCTGAACAGAATCGTGACTACAGGCAGCCCTGGTGGAGTCCAACTCCCACCCTGAAGGGTCCGTCTTACTTCCAGCAATGTGAACCAAACTGTTGTTGTTTGGGGGGTGTTCAGTTTGATAGGGTGGGAGAAGACTGCGTTTAATAATGTCACGTCATCACCTTGAGTTAGGGTAGCAGGGTGTCCTCCTTGGAAAATATTCCAGGAAACGCTGACTGGTGTTCTCACCAGCAGTCTGTAAGTTTGGAACAGTGAGCACACACGCCATGTATCAGACAGCAGGACCCGCCCCGCCCTGCTCTGACTGGCTCAATCTGGTTCTGTTTATTGTTTGAAAGCGACGTCAGTGTAATCCCTGTATCATCGTTAGAGTGGATGAATTCAGAACGACCACAACAAAACATGTTTTTTCCCCACTTTTGCAGCTGACTGAGATCCATCACAAGAACTGAGAGCGTTATTTCATGTTAATTCGTGTCCGTTTCACTTGGTTGTCCGAGACGAAAATAGGTTGTCTCGGACAAACTGAAGCCTCTTATGTTGACCTTTGCTTCTTCCTGCACCCTGCGGAGCTCACGGCCCTGAAATCAGGTTGTGTGTCATGAAGCACCGCTGACCATAAAAGCTTTAATTTAAACCCCCGTTTCCTCCACCGGTGCTTGTTCAGTTATTTTCTGCTGCGTTAAGGGTTTGTCCAAAACAATGAAGCTGCGACAGGTTAAGGTTTCGAACTGAACTGATAATAATGGTCTTTGGTGACACGTTTCTTCCTCGGGCTTCCTGGTTCTGATCAGTCCTGTATTTGTGTCTGTAGCTGGCTGCCTCAGAGGATCGTATCAAAGAGCTGGAGGACGCTCTGTCCTCGGAGCGAGATGCGCACCGCCGTGCCATCGAAGGAAAAGAACTAGAAATGTCTGCGCTGAGAGACCGGATGAACGCTCAGCTCAATGAGTACCAGGAGCTGCTGGATGTTAAGCTCGCTCTGGACATGGAAATCAACGCCTACAGGAAGCTGCTGGAGGGAGAGGAACACAGGTGCATCTTTTGTTTTTAGTTGTGTGTTTTAATACGAGCTCTGCAGAACAATGTCATGCCTGAGTTATCAGACACTTTCCTCTGTTTGTTGCCTTTAAAATCCCGATTCCACATCAGGGGCAGGTATTGGATTGTGATTATATAATACTGTGAGTCAAAATAAAAAAAATTAAACCGGAGCAGGCCACAAGGGAATATACAAGATTTCCATTCATAAAGAAGTCCAACTTAAGATCTGAGTTGCGTAGAAACGCTCTGTAGGTGTGTTTCAAGATGTGCTTTAGTTGGTGATTGTGTGTTTCTTCCAGGCTAAAACTGTCCCCCACTCCATCGGCTCGAGTGACTGTTTCCAGGACAACAGGATCCTCCTCTTCCCGCACCTCCAAGAGGAAGAGGGCCGAGGCCGAGGTTCAGGAAGTGTCCGAGATCCGTGGAGAGGAGCAGCTGCTGGTGTCGGAGGAGGCCACGGCTAGCGGAGTCGTCACCATCTCTCCCACCGACATGGATGGAAACGCTGTCACGCTCGCCAACGACACCGAGCAGGTCTGGAACGACTCGGCTAGTTCAGACCAGATCTTAATACGCCCTACAGGCACAACACAGCTGTAGTTTTAATGTGGTTTAATAATGGAGTGCTAAATTGTCAGTTAAATGTAAAAAAAATATATATATATATTTGGCAAACTTCGTGTCAAGGTGATATATATATGAGATATCAGCTTCAAATATAATCTGGTGACTGTAGCAGTATGAAATGTTGAGAAAAGGCAACCCTGAGTTCTAGTTTTACTGGGTTTTAGCAGGAAAAAAAGTATAAAAATAAACTAAATAGCAACAGTATTAAAGTAGTTCGTAGATGATTTTACAGCACTAAACATTCTCAAGAATTTTGTTTGATATTATCCATCTTCACTAAATTGAAACAATATGGAATATATACAATAAAGTAACCCTGTTGAGAAAAGCATTTTGTGATGTCACCTCTGGATCATGGTCCATTCGACCTGTAACGTTACTTTGGGCCAAGGTGCAGCAGAATGAGTCCAAACATCCTCCTGTTCAGTGAGCGCTTTCTGTCCTCCAACCAGACATTAAAGACACTGTCCCATGATGTCCCCGCTACTCAGCAACTGAAGCTGAGTTGAAGAAGTCTTCACAGCTGTGACAGTGCACATGAACACGGTGTTTATGCAAACACCACAGGATTTGTTAATCTAATTTATCATCAGCAGCATAAAGTTGTAAAACTGAACACACAAAGTCTCTGAAATCTGACTCCCCCTGACGTTTGTTGTTTTTAGTTACCGGGTATCTTGTATTTACAATTTCTGTTGCCGTTGTAGAAGATTGTTAGTTTCTTTGTGTTTAACAGGACCAGCCTTTAGGCAACTGGAGAATAAGAAGACAAGTTGATGACGAGGACGAGCTCCTCTACAAGTTCTCCCCCAAGTACGTCCTCAAGGCTGGACGGACCGTCACGGTAAGAATTTCATTTTTTTACGAGCCTTTGTTTTACATCAGATATTTTATACTTCTGTCAAACGAACTTGCGTCAGATACAAACTTCATCCATCCATCCATTATCTTTTACCCGCTTCTTCCATTTTGGGTCACGGGGTTCACTGGTGCCCATGTCCAGCAATCACTGTGCGAGGGGCGGGGTACACCCTGGACGGGTCGCAAGTCCATCACAGGGCCACATAGAGACAAACGAGACAAACAACCATTCACTCTCTCACTCGCACCTAGGGACAATTTAGAGTTACCAATCTGCCTAACATGCAAACTTAAATGTTCACATTACAGAGTTTCCCCCAGATAACTTGCCATGGTGGGGCGCACATCTTGTCTGTGATTTTCGTCTGAGCTGCGTGCTGTTTGTACCGGCAGCTTTCAAACAGGGGGAGGGGTTCAGTGTAAGGGAAGAGACGGAGTGAGCACTGCCTTTAAATTTTTAGCTAGCATGCCTGTATTGCATGCTGCTAGCTTAGTGCTACATCTGTACTGACGGGGGTACGCACAATTCGGTTCAGTAGGCGGGGCGCTCGGTTCTGTTGACGGGGCGGGGCGCCCCGCTTGTATACTAGTTGGGATGGTGCAGATCCGGTCCAGTATCGTATTGGCCTTCAATACCAACATAATTTACATATCGGATTTTTCTGATCCATGATGCATGTTGGCTTCAAACTATAGAATGGATTTCCTGAATGGAGGCGTGTCTCATGAACTCAGAGTAATAAGACCCGCCTCACATTCAGGAAATCCAGTTCATAGTTTGCAGCCAGCTACAACGTGAGGACTGAGTTAGCAGCACTGTGGCTAACAGCTAACAAACTTTTCATCTAAACATGTCCTCTGTGTGGAAGTATTTTACACTAAGCACCACAAAACAAGACAGCAACGTGCAATGTCTGCAGAGCCATAGCGTCACATTAAACCGCGGTAAAGTTAGTTTTACGTTGGATATTCGAGCTCCGGGGCTTCAGCAGGGCGCTACGCTTCTCAACCCAAAACAGGCGACTCGACCCCGGCCAGCCGCGTTCAGTCTGCCTGTCTCTGAGGAGGGACAGACTGAGCGCGGCTGGCCGAAATCAGGCTGCCTGCTTTGGATTGAACAAGAAGAAGACATCGCTGAAGCCCCGGAGCTCAAATGTTTACAGAGAAGTTGCTAAACTTCATCATAATTAATGACCAACCACTATCAGTTGTAGAAAACTAAGGATTTCACAACTTGATACTTGCAGCCAAGATATAGTTTACCCTCCAGGAGATATTTATCAGTACAACAGTAGATAATCATAAAAAACATATGATTTGAAAATTATATTAAAAACAAAAGCAGCTACATTATAAAGTGATGTAAAATACTAAAAACAGGAACATGTCTGTTGATTTATGCCATGAATTTAGCAGATGTTTGAAGCCATTTAACATTATTTTTTATTCATTTATTCATTCATTTAAAAGAAACAGAACAAATTAATCAAAAACAAAACGTTGAATGAAAAGAGTGCAGAAAGAAGAAAAATCTTATTCTGCCCTTTATTTAAAAAAAAAAAACAACTTTAAACAATCACTTAAATTAATCACTTTAATATCCACTTTAAAGCTAGGAATAAAAAGAAACATGTTTTGTGTTAGCAGGATTTAATTCTAACTTTAAAACTTATCCAACATTAATAAAACTTACCTCAAGTTTCCTTTTTAGACATGCATGCATATATTTGTACAAATTGTACTTGAGAGGAGATTATTACAGCCTCATTTAAAATCCGTAATGACGATGATGATATTGGAACTGGATCGGTATCGGCCAATATTTAGATTTAGGTATCAGGATCAGATCGGAAGTATAAAATAAAAAAAAGAATAAAAAAGTGGATCGGTGCATCCCTATATACTAGTAGGGGAAACACTGCATTACACTTTGTAGAAATTACTGTAAATATTGTGTAAATCTGTTGTATTTGTCTCATCTTTGACTGATGATGATGATGATGTGAAGGACATTTCCATCATGTTTCTGGTGTTTTGTTCACAGCTCTTCTCATTTTAAAAATGTTTCACCTACGCAGGTGTAGCTTTGATATTAGCTGCAAAGTCTTGAATAAACTGAGTTTTCAAGAGGAAGAGTTTGTCACAGTGGTGGATAACGACAGCCTCCTTTTCTGCTTGGATCCATGTGCCCTCGCAGATTTCCTCGCGCAGTCTGAGTCGATCAGGAGTCACTTCCTGAAAAGTTGTTCACCCACATTCTAGACATGGTTTGCATTTTGTCCCGTGTGAACACAGTGTTCAGTGTTAAATAATGTTCCTGAACTCCTGCCTCTGTGGAGCCCTGAGCGCTTCACACACAGATGGGACTATTGCAAATATAAAAATATATATATATATAAATAAAGTATTTATGATCATGAGGATTTAAAATCAAAGTGACAAATTTGATTAAATGCACACTTTTTGATTGATTTTCTTCCTATTGTTCCTCCCACTGTTGATGTCCCACCACATCTGTTGATGAGATCAACAGATTAAATATTTACATTTATGGCTTTTGCCTCAGCTCTAACATGTCTGGCTCTGTTTGTATGAATTTGACTCTCAGGTGTGGTCTGCTGATGCTGGAGTCGCCCACAGTCCACCTTCTGACTTACTGTGGAAGAGCCAGGCTAACTGGGGAACAGGAAGTGTCATCGTGACCTCTTTGATCAACGCTGACGGAGAGGTAACGATAAACCTTTTCTTCTTTAGTCATATATTAATATCATAGATTCTTTTGGGCTGACTTCCTGTCCTGCAGGAAGTGGCCACGAGAAGTGTCACCAAGACTCAGGTGGAGATAGAAAACGGCGAAGGGGAGGAGGATGAAGTGGTGCAGACGGTAAAATACTTGTCATTTTTCCCTCGTACATTTTTGGTTCTGAAATACAAAAGCTGAATTCAGATTTAGAGCAGGTCAGGGTGCACTAGGCAGGAGTTTTATTACTAGTTTAAAATCATACCAGAGTGTTAAAAAGTCAAAAACAAGTCAGGGTTCCTGTCCTGTTCTTACAGTTTAAATGTTTCAATGTGAGATAACACACAGGACTTTTTAAATGTTTTTCATTTCCTGCCTTCATTAAAGCGTTTATAAAAAAAACTGTAGAATCATAAAAACTCACGTCTGACCATCAGATGGGCTGACTGAGGCTTACTTTTTAGTCTGCCTCTCAGCCACATGGCTGTGTGGTTACCATGGAGACCACAATGAGCCACTGTTTGCACTTTTAACTTTTATTTTCTTCACACTTCACAGTTTATTCTTCAAGGTTCTAACTAAACATTTGTTTGTTCTTCAGGGCAAAGTGTCGTCAAGAGAGTGTGCCGTGATGTGAAGCCTTCTGCTTGTGTTTATGGTTTTATCCACTTATCTTTGTGTATTTTATTATTACTTTTTATTGAGAGCCATTCCAATAAGAATTTTGCTCATTTAGTGTTTTTATCATTTCAGACTTTACTAGAAATTTTTAGAACATTTGGGCTGTTTTTGTTTTTGTTTTTTTTTTCCTTGAAATATAGTCAGCAGAACCACTGTCAGTAAACAAGACGCCAAAAAACTAAATCTGAACTGTTCATCCCAAGTATTTGTACACTTTATTTTGGTCAAATCTGCTGTAGATTAAATTTTTTGTAACATAATAGTAATCTGCAAAAAAGAAGAAAAAAAAAATCTAATGAAACGTTGAGAAAATGCATTTATTTGGCAATAATGCCAACTTTCCAGTGAAATATTCAGTTTTTGGTTGTCAGCTGTTGGAGTTAAAGGCACAAAACAAAGTGAAGACATGCAGGACACGTTGTCCTTGCGAGTCCTGGTCTTAGAGTTTTTCCACTTAACAGGTTAGACCAGGGGGTGGTTCTGATCTGGTTCTAGTTATCGCTCGTGTTATTCCACTGCTGATCTGACTTCTCCATGTTAAAACAAAGTATTTTGGTTTAAATTAAGCAAAGTAAAAGTAAAACCTACTACATATTTTTAGACATAAAATTCAGAGCATTTCATTGGGTGCTGGTCTCCACGAGTCCACCTTAAGCTCCAGACAGGAAATAGTTTGTGTTGAGATGGAACTTTTTAGAACCAGAGCTTACAGTGCTGGGAACACAAAGAACCGGAGTCAGCTCCAGTTCAGCGTTGAAACCTGTTTGCTGGAAGAAACCTCGTAGATCAGGAGCCTCAGGCATGAAGTGTCCAAACACGCAAACAGCCTTTTCCATGCAAAAGTTCAAATGCATCATTACAGACAAATATGGAGACATGCGCACGTTTCTACAGGTTTTGGTTTGTTGGCAACACGTCAGGGGCATGCTGGGAAATAATTATCAGACACTCCTGAGGGGTAGAAGAAGCAATATCTCCTGCTTTGTGTTTGACGGATGCTGGAGTGGAAACAGTTTGGTTTATGGTCAGTGAGAAGTGAAACTCGTTCTTTTTCCTGCTCCTGATGTCGCCCCTCACAGAAGAATCGAACATTAACAACAACAAATATTAAATAAGTGTCAAATAAGAGTGAGATAAACATTTCCTCAGTCATCTTAGCGTCCCGCATCAAATCCATCCATTATTTTCCGCTGGCATGCAAACCAAACTCACACCACTTGTATAGAGACTGACCAGCCCGTAGCAACGGGCCCCCTATCACATACTCATGGAGTATGGGAGCCCCCACAGTGTACCATAAGGAACACGGTCGAAAGCTTTCTCCCATTCCACAACATGTTAACTGGATGGGCAAACTCCCATGACCCCTCAAGGACTCTAGTGAGGGTAATGAGCTTGTCCAGTGTTCCTCGGCCAGGTCGGAACCTGCATTGTTCCTTCTGGATCTGAGGTTAGACCAACGATTGGACTCGTTTCTTCAGTATCCCCGAATGGACCTTACCAGGGAGGCTAGGAGAGTGATGCTCCTAAAAGCAGATGGCCGCTCGTCCTGAGCCTAGTTCTAGAGGCTGAAATGGGGTCGATGGGGCCATTCCCACATGTCGTGGTGTCTATGAGCAAGACACCTAATCTCTAATTGCTCCCCGGGTGCTCAATAGCTGCCCACTGCTCCACTGGGTGTATCCCAGGTGCGATGGGTTAAATGCAGAGAACTAATTTCATCATTGTATGGGAACATACAATAACGACAACATATAGCACTTATACTTAGTTCTGCCAGAGGTTTCTTCCTGTTAAAAGGGAGTTTTCCTTTCCATTGTTGCTGTTTTGCTTGCTTAAAGATGGGAAGGTGGGCTTGAGCACCACATTAAAGTGTTGAACAAATGTTGAATCGTCAACTTTAATCACAAACTGAAAGATTAAATACAAACTGTTGTGAAAAAACAGTCTGTTAACTAAAAGCTAAGATTCTTTCTTCCCATTCGACCAGATTTTTTCTAATGCCGTCTAATTTTCAGCTCAAGACGTAGATAAAAACTAAATGCTGCAGAGAAGCTGCGTTTAGACTGCAACAAGTTTTAAACAAGGAAAGACGACTCCCATCAGAACCAGCCGGGTGGTGACTCGGAAACATTAACTAACAACGTCTCACCATTTCACCTGCTCTGCAGCGTCACTCCGTCACCTGACCAGTAACTGTTACAGGAGCGCATAAATCTCACATTTCATTGTGCATTATGCTTAAATATTCTTGGATTCATGCACAGTTTAGTACATCAGATTTTTATTTTGTGTGCTCCCATTTTCTTCAAGTTGTTGTGCATGAGGCCTTGGGTTTCTCTCTTGAGAAGTCTTGAATCTTTCTCCTGTGTAAATTTACTGTTTTTGCTTTTTGTATCACTACAAAACACTAAGCAGGAGGTCTAAATTTAAGCTGTAGTTGAGAATTTTAGAATTTAGAGGTATTTGGGAAATACTTCTTAAAACCAATTAAAGAACTACTGGTAGTTATGTTGATTAAAATATAGGGGTTTGATTTTTAAACTGAAATAGAACTGGTTCCTTTAAATATTTATGTAGTAATAATGAGTTGTATGGAAAAAAGTTAGATTAGTGTCTGTATTCAGAGTAAATAAGGATTCTTCGAGCCTGTTCATATTTGTCAAAAACATTTTGCCAACAGTTCATCTCCTCACACACTTCATGTACTTCAGACACCTGAACCAATATTTTGACATGAACATAATTCAGAGCCATTTCAGTCACCGTTTTAATTTAACTCTTAATAAACTTACCCATAATTACCTTCAACCTCAGCTCTGCGTTAAATCAGGAAAATATCATGAAACGTAACGCTGTTGCTCCGTGATCGACAGTGAACCTGCAGCTCCAAGCAAATAAAACAAACTAAACTGTAAAGAAACTCATTCTCACGTCCTTCCGTCTTTGATCCCAACAGAACAAATTGTTTGGTTATAATAAACAGTCTTTAAAACTTTTCGCTTAATAAACTAAAAGCTGTATTTTAGAGTATTCCCACAAATTGCAGATTATTATTAAAAAGTTGACAGATGAGTAAATTGTTTGGGTTTTTTTTTTTTTTTTACGCCGAGAGGTCCTCTCAGCTTCCTGTGAAGCTGTTCACACTGCCAAGAGGTCCAGACCACCTCCAGAGGTGGTTCAAGTTAAAACGGCACAGCTGAAGACTGACGTTAACAATGTGAACAGGGTCTCAAAGACATAAAGAGCTTCCTGTCTGCGAGTATTTTACCTGACAGCTACACTGAAATCTGACGTTGTTTCTACTTTAAGGATTCATTTCAATTTACCTCGGTGTAGAAGATCTACAAGAATCCTCTGAGCTTCTTCCAGATGTTCTCCTCATTTGAGTCCCAAAAATCTCAGCCTTTTGTATTCCCTCTTTTGTTCAGACGTGGTCAGTACCCAGAGTTCTTGTTCTTGTTCGTACCCAGAGAGGGCCAACGTGGAGTCGGCTCTGGTGTCTCAGATTTTAGCTCATGGTCAAAAGCAGCATCTCACCAGGCTTCAGCTGTTGGCAAACTTAAACCAAGAGAAAAAATAAGCTCCCTCCAGTCTGAGTTTGTCTTTGCCTCAAGTGGAGGAGTTTTAAGTTCCTGAGAGTTTTGTTTACATCTGATTTTTGGATGGAAACATAGATGGATGGGCTTCTTGAGCAGTAATGAGGGTGTTGCTCCTGTTAGACGTAGTGGACAAAGTTGAGTCCAAAGGCGAAGCTCTTGGTGTACTGATCTGTCTTCATTCCAGCCCTCCCCTGCAGTCATGAGGTATGAATCAGAAAGAACGAGATCCCAGATACAAGTGAGTGACCGGGCTCAGCCTTGGAGATGGAGTGAGGAGCCTGCAGTAGATCCAAAGAAGTCTGCTGAGGTGGATCAGGCATCTGATCTTTAAATTGTTTTCATGGAAAGTCCCACTAGGTGGGAACCCTTGGGCAGACTGAATTTTCTGGAGGGATAATGTGTTTTGGGGGCTGGGAATGCTTTGGGTTCCCCCCCAGGAGAAGCATGAGTGTATCTGAGAAGACATGTCTGGAGCAGTCCTCCTGGAGCACGTATCCATGGCACCATCCATCTGCAGATGTGAAGGATGATCTCAACCTGGCAGGCTTCATTTCTAAACTCTAGTCCAGTTGATTAAGTCCTGAATGTAGGGCTGACTGGAGGTGGGAACAAAGACTGCGGCAGGTACGAGGTGGGCAGTCATGCGTGTGGCTCATTGGTCGCTTCGGCACAAACACTTTAATTCAGTGAAACCAACAAAATTAGCCTTTATCTCCTCAAGGATTTGTGTTAATAAGTAGTCCTGACCCAGTGAGATGTGTCCTTCAGGCTTCAGTGACTCCAACCTAAACCCCTGTGGTCCGTGTCACAGACACCTGCCCTGTTGCTGGAGGACTTGAACTCCTCAGAAAAGCCTTTTTTGTCTTAACTTGGAAGAACCGTGACATCTATTCCAAATGTTTTCCTTGACTCTAGTTCTGGGCTGCAGTCGGACTTGGTTCTGTTGTAGCCCCAGGTGGTCTCTCCTGGTCTGTTCGGTGTCCTGACTCCTGAACCTGCAGGTTAAAGCCACGTAGAGGTGGAACGACAAGTTGAGAATAAAGTCAAAGCCAAAATATGGTATTTAGAGATATAAACAGGAATCAAAACCCAAACCGTCACCGATGCAAAGCCAGATGTTTCATAGTAACTTCGTGCACATTAAATATTTTGGCACATCTGGACCTCAGTAAGTAACCTTCTGAAGAGAACACGGAATTCAAGGTCCACACTGTTTATTTGAGACTTTTGTTGTGAAGGTCTGAAGGAAGTTCTTTGAGTTCTGCTGTTGACACAACTACACCTTGAACTGCCTAAATAGCCTTTTATGGATATTTTGCTAACAGGCTCGACTCCAACAGTTGATGTTAAAGTTTTAATCAATGATTTCCTATAAAAAGTAGCATTTGGAGCTTGTGTTAATGACTTTCAGCTACTGTCACACCAAGTTTTAGCTTGATATTTAAACTCAGCTGATATGGAGCCATTTTGTGTTTGATAATATCGCTTAGCTTTGGCAGCCATTTTGAATCGTGTTGGCTACGGACACTGAGACAAGTCCAGATTAGTCTGGAAACACCTGTTTGCCTTTAATCGTGATATTTCAGTCTCAGATGTTTGAAACAACAGAAAGCTCTTCCTCAACGTTTTCCTTCGTGGTGACCTTAATATGTTGTCGTTTGAGCAGGAGGAGTGATCAGGTGCTCATCTGAAGAAGTACGTAGTACATCTTAGGTTAATCGTTTCATAGAACATTATGGGATACGTTTTTACAAGCTCATAAAACAAGTTGAAGAGAGTAAAGAGTTGTGGACTTCAGTTTATTCTGAATATAAAGATTTGGAGTCACGTTCCCATAATGGGAAACTATAAATAAATAAGTCTGGGATGAATTGTTTTATTTTTTATATAGATTGTGATGTGGTTTTTTTTTTTTACTCATAGCCTTGTTGTTCCTGTGGATGTGGAGGGGGTTTAAATAAAAAATGTACTTTTTTCCTTTTATGATTACATGTTGATCTAATTTTTGTACGATCAATAAAATTTTCCATTAAAAAGTTGTATTTTTGATTTTGTATGTGAGGGGAAAAAATGAAGCGTCTGAATGTTTTGAAGATTTAATGGAGACTAGGACACCAAACGAAACTTAAATGACGTTGGTTTGTAAATGTATCCTTTTAACAGATGAGATCCATCAGCTGATTTAATGCTGCTCAGCCTGTTGGCTCCTGAACGCTGCCAAGACCTAGGAGATCATGGACTGCAGGTGGTCAGAACACGCTCCTCATGGAGAGATGGTGTGTGGATAACATCCAGTTCTTGGGCCTGCACAATTCATCAGATCTGACTTTAAATATGTAACCTGGGTGTTGGGGAGTCCTCAGATCTGGCCTCCCTCACACTCGGGGTAATGGGCTAATTAGAGCACTATGGAAAACTGAAAGAGGACCTTTAGTTCCTGGAGCCATGGCATCCATCTCTGCTGCAGATACAAACACCATGACCTAAACATGGGGGTTGGTGCCACGCTGCACTTGCTGTTTCTGATTGGTTTGCACAGCTCTGGTGTGTTTATAGTATAATTTAAAGTTGAGTTGTGCATAATAACAAGAAAGATAAATAGTTGTCAATCTTTTGTGTGTGTGTGGTTGTGTTTAGTTGGCTGTGTCAGCCATCTTGAAATGGTTTAAGATCCGCTGTAACGGAGTCCAGAGTCGTTTCCTCGAGTGTCCAGCAGGGGGCAGTGATGTGCTCTGACGGCAGGGGAGGACTCCGGAGGCGGAATGGAATCAGCGAAGAAGTAGTTATTTCGGAACCAACACTGTGAGCTCAGGTGTTCAGGATGTTGCTGGTTCTACCCGAGGATCAGAAAGACCACCTCTCCTTCCTTCAGACCGTGGAGCCCTCCGGTGAGTTCTGACTCCTGTCTGTCCGGTTCTGGTTCCGGTGGCTGTGAGCGGGTCAGCAGGAAGCGGAGCTCTGGTTCTTTAGGAATGTATTGTTACTGAAAAAAAACACTGAACGAATTCTAATGAAACTTTACACCTGATGATTACAATTCAAGATGGTCGCCACAGCCAGCTGACCCCAGAAGAACAAAAATGGCTGTAATGTAAGAGACACTAAAAGTTTGGTGTGGTTGTAATTTAGAGACACTAAAAGTTTGGTGTGGTAGTCCCTGAATCTGATCCACAACACACAGCTATGTTTAAAACAGATACCGTCACAGATTATTTATAAAGCACTAAAAACTGCAACAAGGCCAACCAAAGTGCTGTACAGCAAAATCTAAACAAGCAAAGTGCACAGAATAAAATGCATAGATCCACAGAGGTAAAGATAAGAACTAAATGACTGCGTGGGTTTTCTCCGGGTACTCCAGTTTCCTCCCACAGACCAAAAACATGCATGTTAGTCTGATTGGTAACTCTAAATTGTCCCTAGGTGTGAGTGAGAGAGTGAATGGTTGTTTGTCTCGTTTGTCTCTATGTGTCCCTGTGATGGACTTGTGACCCGTCCAGGGTGTCCCCCGCCCCTCGCACAGTGATTGCTGGACATGGGCACCAGCGACCCCCCGTGACCCAAAATGGAATAAACGGGTAAAGATAATGGATGGATGGATGGTACTAGTACTAGGTACAGGGTACTAGTTGTATCTGTTGGGCAGTGTTTACAGAACTTTTTTTTCCTCCTCAGTGGTTGAAGAGTTTGGCCGTATTGCGTTGGAGTTCTTACGAAGAGGAACTAGTCCAAAGATTTACGATGGGGCAGCAAGTAAGTTTGTTTCCAGCTGTTGTTGTTCGGGTCCAGATGTTCTGACAGAACATTGTTCGTTTCGGTTCTGCAGCCCAGGCTGAACTGGCAGATGGTGAAGAGTCCACTTATGGTTTTAGTGTCACCTTTCGATTTGTTTTTTAGGTGTTTAACTGATGAGGTTTGTTTTTTCTGTTATGAAGTTTTTATTTTTTATCAAAATGTATGTAAGATTTTAGAAATATATATTTTAGTTTATTTTCCTCCTCCTTCTGTCAGAACATTAAGTTCAAAGTTCATGATGCTTTCAGGGAAGCTGTGTGTTCCTGTGGAAGTGGTCCAGCGTGGAGTGGAGGGTCTGGTGTTCCTGCTGATGGAGAGCTCCAAACACATGGTGGGATCAGAGTCACTCTGTGCAACAACAACAACAAACGTTCAGGCACATTTTCATCCATTATCTTTACTCGCTTCTTCCTTTCCACGTCGCAGGAGGTCAGGCACAAAATCAGCATAAAAAATTATTAATTTGTAGAGAAAAACATGATAAACTATGCATCACTGTAGCAAAAATTTCATTTTCAAAACGGTGGCTAAAAGCTTCAACCAGCAGAATTGTAGCTAAAAGCTAAAACAAGCCAAACAATAGGAAAATGCTTAACTGAGCACAACAGTAGCTTAAAAGTTAAACTAGCTAAACAGTCAAAAACTGAAATTATTAAACTGTAAAGGCTCAAATTATCTGAATCATAGCAAAGTGATAAAGTTAGCAAAACAATAAATAAAAACTAAAATCAGCTAAATGTTAGCTAAAAGCAACAACTGAAAACTAAATTCAATACAGTTTATTTATATAGTGCCAAGTCATAGCATGTCATCTCAGGGCTCTGAGCAGAAATAAAATAATAAAACAGAAGCTTTATGTTAAAATTAGTAAAATAGTAGCAAAAAGCTTCAACCAGCGGAATTATAGCTAAAAGCTAAGATTTAGCAATACACAAGGAAAAGTGAGCAGAACTGTAGCCAAACGTAAACTAACTAAACTTTAGCTAAATGCTGTAATCAATTAAAATCAAATTACCGTAACCATAGTGAAGTGATATGGTCAGCAAAACAATTGCTAAAATCTAAAACCAGTAGAGCGGTATATATAATCTAAAATTAGCAGAACAGAACCTAAAAGCTGAAATAGCTAAAAATTGTAGGTAAAAGCTCAAATTAGTAGAATCGTTAAAAAAAAAGATACAATTCACAAAACAGTAGCTAAAAGCTAAAACTGTCAGAGAAGCTAAAAGGAGCAGAAGACAAAAATGGCGCTGGTATGCTGAAGTCAGTTTCATAGAAAACAGTTTTGAAGGAATTGAAGTTTTAAAATAATGATTGGTGTCTTTTTTTAAATAAAGTTTAATATTTTGAAGAATAGACGTCAGGAAAAACTACAAGTCCCAGCAGCCTTATCCAGGTTGGGTTCAACTTTTAAATCATTTAAATGACACAAAACTACTGCAGGAAAGCTGAGCCATCAGAGTCCAGAACCTTCACCGTCTCATTCTGTGTTCAGATCTCTGAAGTGGACTTTCTGGACTCCGTTATAGTTCTGGGATTCAGTGAAGAGCTTAATCGGTTCCTGTTGCAGGTGACCTTTAGCGTTCTATAATTGTCTGGTTCTTTGAGCAGAACGGTCCTTTAAACTGTTCTGATGTTCCAGCTGTACCAGGAGCACCGCGGGCAGATCCGGACCCTCCTGAACCAGCTGGTTTACAGTCAGCCGGCCTACCAGAACCTGGAGTGGAGGCTGGACGTTCAGGTGAGGGCGGTACTGAATGTTCTGCTGTCTCCTTGTTTAAAATGTTTTGATCCAAATGTGCGTTCTGAACAAAACCTGTGTGTGATCACATGAAACCCATTTCACTCTGATGGTACCAGAGGTTCTGAACAGGTCCGTACGGTAGCCCTAAGGTGTAAATGAACAACATTTGAAAAAACGGAATTACATTTGACAAAAAAAAAAAAAAAAAATCACAACAACATTAGAAAAAAAAACAGAATTACATTAAGCCAACTAGGAAGTTTTTTTTTTTTTTACTTTATTAACAGCATAAAACCAAACAACAGAACAATATACAGTACATCCTGACGCATGCTCAATAATCCATGTAGAAAAATGTACAAAAGTTAAGTCGGGTCCTCTGGAGGCTTCTGTGTTCAACTGTCTTCCTCATACAATGCTGTTACTGCTAATATCACTCAGCCCCCTGTGGATAGCAAGCAGCCATCAGGGTGCTAATGATCCATTGTTAGGCTGATGGTCCTCCTTGATTCATGTGAACAACTGGTTTTAAATGTCAACAACTAACTGGTTGACCCACTGGTTGAAGGTGCTATTTATAAGACTGAGCTGAATACAGCTCGTCAGACTGAAGAAGCCTTTCGGATGAAAGATGAAACGTTTCTACGATTTTATTTATTTTTTGTTGTTTTTTGAACATCCAGAGGACCTGACAACTTTTTTAGAATATACAGTACACACATATCTCTGATGTGTGCTGTATATTGTTCTGTTGTTTGGTTTTATGCTGTTAATACAGTAAAAAAATAAAATAAAATCCTGTTTGGCTTAATGTAATTCCGTTTTTTTCAAATGTCATTGTTTTTTCTAATGTTGTTCATTTACACCTTAGGGCCACCGTAGGTCCGTCATGTTTATGGAACTGGTTTGATCGAGAGGTTGCTGTGTAAAGACTGAAGCAGAATCAGTCCAGTTCTACCAAATTCAAAGCCCTTTGATTGGAGTAAACTTGAGTTACTCCTGATCATATCACTAATCTCACATTCAGACTAGATCCAAATGGGTCAGAACCAGCACATCTGTCCCGGTCCTCACGGCTCTAACTCTGGTTACTGTTTCTTCCTGCTGTCAGCTGGCGAGTCGTTCGCTCCGTCAGCAGGTCGTTCCCATGGTGACGACACGACTGCTCCTGACCTCTGGTTCCGATAGCAGCAGCAGAGTTCTGCAGACTGACCCGAGAACCCTCCTGCACATCATCTCCACTCTGGAAGCTGCTTTAGCTGCGGTGAAGACCAGCCACACCCGACGGATCCTACGGAACATTAAATAGCTCTTTGTGGAACATGTTCTGAATCTTTCAGAACGTGTTCAGAACCGGGTGTTTCTGGACCTCCTGTGGTTCAACATTCTGCCTTCATGGATGATAAAAGTTCAGCATCTCTGCAGAGATGCAAAGCAGAACGTGTGATTTGATCCTGATGAGAAAGTTTGTTTTTGCTGAGACACTTCATTCATGATGTTCCGAGTCTGATCGGGCCAAACTGGGTCAAAGGTTCTGTGTGTAGTACTGCAGTTCTCTTAATAAAATGTGTATAAAATGTATTTGTGGTGGTTTATTTAGGCACAGAAGAGATTTTAAAACAGAACATCTTTTCCTGTTAAACATGTTTTAAGTTTTCAAACGTGATGGTTTACAGCCGCAGAGACACAGAGGACAGATTTGCAGCTGCAGAGAAAGAGGACAGG